CGGCGATCTTCCGGTTGAGTGACTTCTCCTTCTTCGAAATCGGAGTCGCCAATCGCTACTCCCCTTGTCTCAAGCCGGAGGTAACTTCTGCCGTCAGTTGTGATTGGAATCTGGCGAGGTCCGTATTCAGGCAGCGCTTGCGTAGCTGTGCTGTCCCTGGAAGATGTTGTCCGGTGCGTCTTGTGGTGTACACTCTTTGGAGTGGACCACCTCCCAAACCCTATTGGTTGGGGTTCTCTCTTGTTGGAACTCTCTTCTTGGAAATTCTCTTGGTTCTAACATTGCTCATGCCCAAGTTGGCTCCTGAGATTCCTGGACTTTAGGAGGAGGTTCTAAGACTACTATAGCTTCTAATAGTATCTTAGACCATTCTATCATGGTATCAGAGAAGGCCTAGCAATCTGTTAAAACAGGAGCTACTCAAGACGTTGGACCATAATACCTTGGTGGAAGCTAAATAGCTTATATCCCTCCCAGGGCTGCTGAAATTGCACTGTTGCCCCATGCATCCGAAACCAGCACGTCCTAATGTGCATCGACAGCCACGAGGTGCAGTAGAAGCTAATGCAAGACTCTAAGTGCAAGACCTTCGGGGAGGCTAACTACTAATTGGGCATGCACATTGAAAAGGACATTAGCAATGGATGGATGAAGCTGCATCTGGAGAAGTACATCAGCTACCAATTTAGAGAACATTCAGCTGACGATTAATCCGACACGAAGCAGATGACGCCCCGACACTTTCCAGCAACGTTCCATGCCATCAGCAGTTTCTTCTAGCATAGCTGCAATTGCACAGTATTTATTGACATCAGGAACGGGGACAATAGGGTTAATTTTTTTACCCTTCTGGTTCGGTTCCCTGACAATGTGATCTGATTGTTCCTCGCAGGTTCGGGAGGAAGGTTGCAATAATATTTCCATCTAAGTTCAAACTCATCAAGGAGCAAGCTCATTCTCAATCTATTAGGGAACATGGTATATGCAGTAGTGCACACCCGGCAGGACATGTCATCTTCTGTGGGGCAGCTGGCTAGGGTGGTGCAAAATCCTACTAAGGATCAGGTGGATGCAACAAATTGGCTGATTCAGTTTTTAAGCTCCTACCCAACTTTTGGAATTCAATACTCTGTTGTGGCACAATGGAATAAAAAGGGAGCAGAGGAACTCAAGTAGAAGGAGGAGCACCTTGGAGAAAGGGGTTTGATGGTGCATGCTTGATTGTAGGAGGACCCGTGACCTGGAGGTCAAATTAGCAGGCAAAAACGGCAGGTTCATCTACTGAAGCTGACGACATGTCAATATACCATGCAACCAAGAACCTGGTTTGGTAGAGGAAGCTGCTGGAGGAGATTAGGAATGAGCAAAAAGCACCTACCCTACTGTCTTGTAACAACTCGGGTGCAATTGCAATGTCCAAGAACGTTGTGTTGCATTGGCTGAACAAGCACATGCACATAAATTGGCACTGGTTGTGCAAGCAAGTGTAGATCGGGATCCTCCAACCACTATATGTGAAGACGCAGCAGCAGCCGCAGATTTTTTTACGAAGCAGCTGGCTGAAGAACCTCACTCACATTGGGCCAAGTTGAGTGGCATGAGCCAAAAATAGGCTTACATACGGAGGCGCAAGCAGGTGACAGCATAATACCTTATGGTGAGCCTCGGTTGTTCATGAGGAGAAGCGGAGGGCTCGACTTTTCACTTTGGGCCCTTTGATTTTTTTTTTTTTTTTTTTTTTTTTTTTTTTTTTGCGCTGGTCAAGGAAAAGCGCACATAAATCAGGACCCGCATGTGGGGTCCTGATCTAGCATGTGGCCCCACATGTCCAACTCGTGTGTCGCACCCCGTTGCGACCGTGCATAGTGCGCATGATCGCAACAAGACAGTGCGTTGTGATCGCAGTGTCCCGCGCAGGGCAGCGCACGACTGCATCAGCATTTGTCGGTCGTGCTGGATTGCCCACGGGGTTTGCCGAGATATTTTAAAGGGTGCTCGGGATTTTGGTAGAATAACGGAATACCCAACTGACTTGGCAAACAGGAAAATTTGCCCGAAAGCCACGCTGCTTAGCACGACAATTTCATTACACGTACAAAACGGTGAAACCTGTTTCAGAACGGTAAAAATCGTTTTACAATTGGAAAACAAGAATCATATACGAAAAATCGTTATTCCTCATGAAAATTCAAGAACACCCGTGAGAGGAGTTAGCAGAGACATTTGGAGGAAGTGTAATTTGAAGTCAGATTCTCTAATGATGCGAAACAAGCCAAGTTAAGCAGAAGTTGGGAAACCGTTTTTGAAAGCAAGCCTGACAAATTCCGATATTGCTGTTGTTCAACTGTTTAGCATTTTCCATTTGCTTGTGCTATGGCATCATATGAATGCGTGCTTGCACTTGCTCGCCTTTAACCGTGAATTCTACCACTGCGTATTGACGATTGTAGGAACAATACTAAAGACTGCCGAAACGGCTCGACCAGTTCTCTCAAGCTACAAGCTAAGCCAATCTTTGCTAGATGACTTCTTTTTACTCAACCTTGGCTGGGAGGATTTTAAGTAAAGCAGGTACTGCTAGGCCTAACCTTGTAGTTCTTAGTTTTAATTTATTCCGCATTATGTTTGGCACTCAATAGGTGGGAGGTGAGTGGTTGGTGGACGAACGTGTTCCCCAAGGACTTTTGTATCATATCATGAGAAAGCACGTGTTAGGAATAGCAATGCTGCTGCAATTCGCAGCCACTGCCGTACATCGTAGTACAGTAGGTTCCTTCCCTGCGCCCCATTGGCTGATATTGTCTATGTGTGACCAATCGTATCTTGAGACATTAGGATGCTATAAGGATCCATTGAAAATTTTGCCCTAACGAATAAGGGATTTGCTACAACTTTGGAGGGTGCGCCTTACCCTAAAACGAATATGAGGCCCTGTTTGATACATACCTTAGCTAGCTGTGTGTATTTTCGTCATTACATCACTCTTTGCTCTCACGTACTAGCGGAGGTACTCAAGACTTCCACAATCTCACAACCTTCATACTTCGTCTTTGAAATACCCTAACAACTTCATCTTAACCCAACATGGTTCGAAATCTAGTGGAGAGTAAGACTACACTACTTTATGCTCAGAGCATCGCTTGCATCGATATGAGAGGATTACATTACAAGTCATTCAAGATATGAGAAATTACAAGGCTCCTCTGAGAAGGTAGGGTCTATAGAACTACCCCTAGCCCCACCTTGTTAGGTGTAACCTCTTCTGCACAAACAACAACATTAGCAACGGGATAACATCCGGCTTCCGAATTTGGATCTAGCCATGAAAAATTGTTTTTTACTTTAACAAAGCAGTTCAGCTCTGCATAGCAAACTGCAACTGCACCTATAGCATCATTCAATACACGAGAAACATTCATGTGAATCAACACATCATCATCCACAAGTCAAAATATACTAGTGGTGTATCACATACCAAGAGAGAGCCAACAATTTGAAGGCTCGTTTGCGTTTGTTCCACATCATTATTGGAAGCAATATGGAGGGCACTGAGTCAAAGCAGCAAACGGTTATGAAACACAATGTCTCAATATTCTGGAAATGCAGATTTTGGTGGCTTTTGATGAAGAGGAATTCGTTTCCTGGAGCTTTGAATACGAATTGATGTATAAGTGGCTCAGGTAAGGCTGGTGTTGTTAGAGATTAAGGACGGAGTCTATGAAGATTAGGGGCTGAAATATCTCAAAATCGTCAACTACAATTCTGGACAGAAAAGTCGTCGTCACAAGAAACGTCGTCGACGAAAGGTCCACTGTTAGAATTCTTTCAAACTCGAGTATGTTGTAGCCCTTGACCGTGGCTATCTTTCCCAATTTGAATAGTATCAGAATATGGAGTATAACTCGAGTTATGAACTTCGGCGCACTAGGGGGTATGCTGCCATAGAAAACGTAACTCAATCACAATGATCTCACAAGTTCACACAAGAAAGTTAGAGTAGCAATAGAGCCAGGTAGGAGGGGATGAGGAGGACGAGAGGGAAGGTCCCAAGAGAGTCCCCAACCAAGGAAACCCCATGCCATACAATTCCCTTCCCCATAGGCAACCCAACTTTGACCTTTGTCACTATCCCAACCTCCACAATCCACCTCAACCCAACTTGGCCACACTTGCCAACCTGGTTTGGTTTCTCCCAACCATTTGGCAGCAACTACAGTAGAAAAGACGAATTTCCCAACCCCCAAAAGTCTGTACCCCATATTGAGTCAACCCCACAACTTCCCATAGTCACCACAACCAAATATCAAAAGCATACGAACTCCAACGTTCGTAACTTTCTAGTTCGTGCTCCGATTGAAGCGATACTTGGTTCCTCGGAAAGCTCTTGAGCAGAGGAGTCACTTCAGATATCTGCTCAAGCCAAATAACATTCACACACACACTCAGAAAAACCAAACCGCACAAAACACAAATTCTTGCACACACTCACAACACGCATGCAACGCACGAACATATGATGGGAGGCAGACAGACGTGAATGCGAATGGTAGCATCACTCAACAGGTGTTCATTAATGACTCCAAGTGTCACGGAAGCTACAATATATCTGGAAACTCTTTTGCAAGCATCATATGGCATCACACAAAGCAAACTCATTAAAAAACAAAATTGGAGAAAAAAAATCTAGGACCAACATGAATGACCTAGATCAAGAGACGTAGAACGTTATGTGACCAATTTGTGTAAGATGAAGGAGGTTTTCCTATAAATATTTTCTTCACCATAATCCTTGGTGGCCTGAATCCTTAGTGGCGATTGTATCGCTTGCTACTTCATGCCCAAAGAATTGTCACATAATAGTACAAAAACTCTTAGATTTCCGCTGTTACAAATTTCAAACAAAGTCTCCAAAATATCCTAGGGGCTTGACGCAACCGAGCATCGTACAACATTGAATTCAATATTGAAATGCTTTCATTAAAAAAAAAAAACATTCACACATGGATGGTGGCAAGAGTGTTTACCAGCACACCTCTGGAGGAAATGATAGTGGAGAAACTTCAGCTTCGCTCCACCACTTTCAGGCACATCTTTCAGTGCTCCAACGGTAACATCAGAAATGGGAGTTCAGTGAGACGTTGCTTGACCCCAGCCAGCATTGCCTGACAAGAAATCGTCTCTCTGCCCTCCCTCTGCCCTCCCTCTGCCCTCCCTCTGCCCTATGCCCTCTCTCTGCCCTCCCTCTGCCCTCCCTCTGCCCTCCCTCTACCCTCCCTCTGCCCTCCCTCTGCCCTCTCTCTGCCCTCCCTCTGCCCTCCCTCTGTCCTCAATCCACCCTCCCTCTGCCCTCCCTCTGCCCTCCCTCTGCCCTCCCTCTGCCCTCCCTCTGCCCTCCCTCTGTCCTCCCTCTGCCCTCCCTCTGCCCTCCCTCTTCCCTCCCTCTGCCCTCCCTCTGCCCTCCCTCTGCCCTCCCTCTGCCCTCCCTCTGCCCTCCCTGTGCCCTCCCTGTGCCCTCCCTGTGCCCTCCCTCTGCCCTCCCTCTGTCATCCCTCCATCCTCCCTCTCCGCATCACCCCCTCAGGGCTAGGCGAGATGATGCCAACGCAGCTGTGGGAGACGACGCTGGACCCCAGCCAGAGGCGGCTGAAGCTCATCACGGTGGACGAGGAGGCACAGGCCAGTGTCACCCTCTCCGTGCTCATGGGGGATAAGGTGCGCTCATAGGGGATAAGGTGCGGTCGTGGGGGATAAGGTGCGGTCGTGGGGGATAAGGTGCGTTCATGGGGGATAAGGTGCGCTCATGGGGGATAAGGTGCGGTCATGGGGGATAAGGTGCGGTCGTGGGGGATAAGGTGCGTTCATGGGGGATAAGGTGCGCTCATGGGGGGTAAGATGCGGGCATGGGGGATAAGGTGCGGTCATGGGGGATAAGGTGCGGTCATGGGCGATAAGGTGCACTCATTCTCATGTGCTTATGGGGGGGTACAAGGTGGGTTCATGGGGGATAATCTGGGTGGATGGACCGGCATGGGCTGAATTGGATGTGGCGGATATGCGTCCTCCTCCCTGCTGACCTTCCCCTCACCCCATGACGTGTTCTCGCACAAAAGGTAGTGTATCGTATCCACCTACCTGCTTCCACTGTTGCACACCCTTCACTACACACACCATGTGATGTGCTCTGTCCGGTGCGGTTGCACTTCGCAGGTGGGGCCGCAAGGAGTTAATTCAGATTGTAGGAAGTAGGATGGCAGCAGCTGGCTTGCTCGACATCTAGCAGCACCGAACTGAACGATCAAGTTTTTTGTTGTTTTTTGTTGTTGTTGTTGTTGTTGTTGTTTTTTTTTTTTTTTTTTTTTGAGGCAGCACTGCTTGATCAGTGTGCCCCGAGTTCAGTCGGATGCCCTGTCCTGTTCATTCGGAAACTTTACCATTCCTCAGTACCATAATCACCCCGTGCAAATGTAAGTTTAATATCATTGTTGATTTAACATCACAGTTAGAGGCGCAAATGTGAGTTTAGGTGAAAATCACCTACCGCGTTGTTGCTACCGTTGCTGCCACTGCCAGCAGCAGCGTTGTTGCTGCCATTGCTGTCATCACCAGGAGCGTTGTTGCTGCCATTGGTGTCATCGCCAGGAGCGTTGTTGCTGCCATTGCTGTCATCGCTAGGAGCATTGTTGCTACCATTGCTGCCGCTGCCAGCAGCGTAAGCATCAAGAATTGCAGCTCCAAACATGAATGTGTTGAGAACAATATTTTTTTTACTAGAATTTGCTGCGATTGTCAAGCTATAAAAGCCAGCAGCTAAAAGAGTGAACCCCAGCCCAACTTGAAAACGTGTTGTGTGATGAGTTGGTTGAAGCGAAGGGAAACAAAAATCGGGCTATTTCAAAGAATCATTTCAACGTGTTAGAATAAGTAAGGAAGGATCCTTTGGATAGGATAAGTCTGCAGGAGTTGTATAGCGGAAGTCTTTTGTGGTAGGAATCTTGTTGCATAGTGAATGTAATTGACAAGATTGATTGAAATAGAAACATTACACACATTATTGAGATCCTAGCTAGCCATGTACTCTGAGGGGTACGTTCCCTTATTAATCGTAATACATCGTTACAGTGCTAGCTATCTTTCAGTTACCAAGTTGTCTTCTATAACTGTATGGACGGTTACGCCTGTTGCAATCAGAAAGGTGATCGTGCCTAGGATCTCCTTAGGAAGGTTCGCAGAGATTTGAGTGTTGCAGCGGAAGATATTGACCTCAGATCAGAGTGAATCTAAAATGACTGAGATAAATAAAAAAACATACAAACACATTCGTATCAATAAGTGTACAGGGGAATACGAAACGACCTAACTAGCCATATACTATAAGGAAGAAATTCCCTTATTACAGCGAAATCCAACCGTGCGACTCCAGACGGTTACGAACTGTTCCCGGCAGAATCCCCGCCACTGCAACTCCCCGATGGTGTATGCCTTGACGGTCAAGATGCTCCATAACCGTACGCGACATTTCACGTCACTCCATACTTTTGCCTTCATACACTTTACTGTGTGACTCGCTTGCTACTGCCAGGTGTGCACTGTAATTTCCACCATTCACTATTCGTAACACCCCACTTCACTCCTGGCCGTAGCAGGTCTTGACCCGCTTGACTACTCCGCTGAGTTCGGAGCAGTGCTGGTACTGCTGATTTGACAGTCGCTTCGTGAGGAAGTCAGATGCCATGTCACCCATCGGGCAATAGGTCAAGTCGACCTTCCCCTTGTCAAACTTTGTCTTTGACGAAGAAGTACCACAGCGCAATGTGTTTGGTGCGGTTGACGAATCCTGGTTTGTTCGCGATCCTGATCTCGCTCTGGTTGTCGCAGTGTAGGCGAAAGGTAGGCAAAGTGGGGATTTTCGCTTCCTATAAGAGCTCCTGTAGATAAAGCCCCTTCGCGAACTGCTGCCGTCGCGGCAATGAATTCAGCTTCAGCTGATGACAGGGCAACCAGTTCCTGCTTCTGTGAGTTCCAGGAGATGGGCCATGCTGGCTCGAGGCGGAACAGGAATCCAGTTCTCGACCATCGATTGTCGGGGTCAGCAGCATGATCGGCATCCACGTAGCCGATGAGGTTGAAGGACGGGGTCGTGACTGTGGAGTAGTAGAGCCCAATGTTGGCGTGGAGTGCGCTGAAGGTCTAGGAGATTTTCAGCCGTTGGTTTGCGAGAGTACTAAGGCAGTTGGCTCACGATGTAGGATAGGTCTGGCTTGCATGTGACTGAGGCAAAGAGGAGGCATCCCAGCTGTTGCTGGTAAGTGTGAAGGCCTGCGGGGGATAGGGTTTTGTTGTCGGGTTTGTAGTTCGGTCCGGGCATGCGGTAGGGAGTTGAGAGTGGTGCGGGAGAGATGTTGAACATCTTCTCAAGAGTTTCAGCATACTTAGCAGCTGAGGGGTGGATGGCTTCTGGCGTGTAAGTGATGTTGAGTGCCAGAAACTACTTCACGTCATGGTTGGTGGTGATGTCGACGCGCGTCGCCAGATTCTTCTCAAACTGGTCGAGCAGGGTGCTGCTTGTTCCTGTGTAGAGGAGATCGTCGACGTACACGGTGAGCAGAATGTAGTCGCCACAGAAGTGCAAGCGATACATGCCTGGGTCGTGCGGCAGCTGCGTGAATCCTATCTCGAGCAGGATTTTGTGCACGTGCTGCTGCCAGAGCCGTGGTGCTTGTTTGATCCCGTATAGGGACTTCTTCAGCTGACAGACGCGGGGATCTCCTTCGCCGAAGGTGTGTGGCTGCTCCACAAAAACAATAGCATCCACCAGCGCGTAGAGAAAGGCGTTCGTTACGTCGATCTGGCGGAGAGGTAGGTGCTGCGCGGCGGCGATGACGAGCAAGACTCTGACGGAGGTGTGACGGTTGACCGGCGCAAATGTCTGGTCGAAGTCGATGTCGTGCCTCTGGTTGTAACCGCTTACGACCCAGAAAGCCTTGAATCGCTCTATAATGCAATATGCTGTGGTCTTCATGCCGAAGACCCACTTCCCTGAGAGCACACGCCTTCCTTTGATTGCGGCGCGGTCGACGAGCACCCAAGTGTCCCATGATTCGAGGGCCTTAATCCCAGCGTCCATGGCCTCGCACCATTCCTTGTTGTGAGGACCCATGAGCGCTTGTCGCGGGTTCCTAGGCTCGATGACGCGCAGGGCCGCGGAGGTGGCGGTGTGGAGCCCCAGCAGTTGCAGCCCAGAGACAGTGCTGTCATGGCGATGCTGTGGGACGACTTCCTGCATGTCGTTATCGTCGCTTTCTGGTTCAGGTGGCGGTGGCGGCGCGGGCTCCCTGCTGCTTCCTCCCGCAGGTCCTGGTGGTGAGTCGTTGCTGTCATCGTCGTCGTTGTTGTCTCCGCCGATGTCGGGAAATTCGCTCGGGCGGTCCTCTTCCAAGATGACGGCAGCTGCTCGTCTTCAGGGGTAGCATAGCTGTGTCCGTCGTTCGCGTAGACGCGGTTCGCGCTCGTCTGCTCGTCTTTGCAGAACTGGGCGAGGTTGAGCCGCTCGCAGAAATGACGTCGTGCGCATTAGTGACCTGCAGGTCCAGAAAAATCCACGCCTTATATTTGTAGCTTATGCCGAGGTGAACTCCCCAGGGCGCACGGCTTGCGAACTTGCCGATGGTTGATGTTGGGGGGCGATACTGCACCATGCAACCCCACACGCGGAGCATGGAGGTGTCGCCCTTCTTGCCTGTCCACTTGACGTGCGGCAACAGGTTCCTTGCGATGGCTATCGTGGAAAGGAGATTGTGCACCCGTACGGCGTGGTGCATCGTGTACGGCCAGTAGGTTGCTGGAAGCTTTGACTGCTTCAGCAGCGCGCGCACTTTCGTCATGAGTGCGCGATTTGTGCGCTTGGCGACACCCTGTTGCGGATGTGTGTAGGAAAGGGAGACGTGATGCGAGATCCCCTTCTGCGCCATGTAGTCCTGCAACTCCTTGCTGCGGAATTCTGCTGCGCCGTCGGTCAGCCAGATCTGGAGCTTCTTGCCAGATTGCCGTTGCGCGTGCGCCAGCCAGAGACGGAAGACCTCATATGCCCTGCTGCGGAACTGCACGTTCACAATCCAGACATAGCAGGTTCCCGCGTCGACGAAGGTGAGGGTGTAGCTCTCGTTGTTGAGCCCGCAGTGGCCGACAACAAGAAAATTACGGTACACCTTGTGCAGTTTGGGGTAGCGATTGGTCCCAGGTTCCAGCAGCGGGAACGACTGATGACTCAGCGCAACTTCGAGACAGACAGTGCGGGTGCACGGCTGCAATGTTGTCCTAACTTCGAAGTCGTCAAGGCGCAAGAGTGCGCCAGGTGCGAAGACGCCGGCTTCGATGCAGTTGTTCAATGTCACGCGCGAGGGGTGATCGAGGCGCTGATGCCATAGGTCGCCGTTTGCGCGGAGTCCGGAGGCGCGCATGTAGTGAGCGCGCACTGCTTCATGATCTTCTTTAGGTACCGGAGTAGGTTCTGCATGCACTTGTTCTTCTACTGCGTCTTCGTTCGCCGTTGTGGGGATTAGCGCGAAAAATTCCCTGTCGGGAATCACGACGAGGGGAATGCTGGTCCTAGGGATTGTTCCGGGGACAAGGGATAGGCTCGCGCGGCTCGGGGTCGGGTCCGTAGACTGTGCGACATGGGGTCGAGGGCTCATTGCCCCAATCGATGGTGTCCCAAGGGTCGCGAT